GGATCAAAGAGAGAAACAAAATACGGGGGCGTTCCTTGCTGAATTTCTGTCCCTCGATTAATGTCAGGAAGGCCAACTGGACGTTTGTCTCCAACAAAAAAAGGGGGAACGGTAGGTCCGCCCCAGAAAAATCTTTTTCTTTCATTTGGCGATTCCTCTGAAGGAAAATCACAAATAATCGGTTACAATATTGCAAAGCAAGCATAGGGTAGTCTCATCGGTTTAATTTAGCTACTTAACTGATCTAATTTGACTGATCATGCAGTTAAATCGATGACAGTGACCTAAAGTTATGACAACTGAGCTGTATCATCATCAGAGACGAGGGATACCTTATCTGTCAGTCGGGTCTTTAGCTTATCCTGGTTTTGTGAAGCTAATTGGTTACTTTTATCGGGCTGCTTTTTGTGGGAAGACTCAACAACAATAAAAACCCATGTATAACTTAAAACTAAAGATCCTCTTTTTTTTTCCCCTTTATCCTTTTAACTCCCGCGAGTGACCCCCACAGAATTTCTCCTTACAATATGTATACGATATCATGCAGACAAGTGATGAGAATAAAGGAAAACATCAATTATGGGATTATTAATTGATCCGATATAGAATTCTCCAAACATAATGATAATCATTTGACAGACAGTAGGGAGAAATACTTATGAGATCTTGGGAGTTAAAGGGTTAAGCACTCTTCACATAATAACCATTAAGGTTAAAATTTCAATACAGGTTTTTACTGTTAGAATATAGAGATTTTTCAAATATGTTACAGTACATTACATTCGTTACAAAAAGGGCAACAAAAACTAGCCAGAACACTGGCAGTGTTACAAGATCACAATACTGTACTGTCAATACATCCATAGGTGTGCAACATATCCGACTAACTACAGGGCATTATATGAGGTTGGCATACAGCACAGTGTGACACCCAACCCACTAATAGAGGTTTCCCTTTTTTTAAACAAATATTAAGAACCAGATTAAGAACCAATGTTGTCTAATTTCATTGTAATCACCATTTGTCTAGGAACCTTAGACGGAGGTTAACTTAAAAAGAACCTATGTTCTAATATGCAGGTTTTTCGTCAGCTGCGATTGATTGGTTTCGAATCGCTCGGTAAGGTAGCTCGTTTTCATCGGCCTTTTAGTTCTGGAAATGCTTTGATAGAGTCGTCTCAGAGTGCTGGTAGCTTGTCTTAAGTAAGTTGGTGTAGGTTTGATCATTTTTGTGAATTGACAGAAGACAAACAAGATTGAAAACTTCCTTCCCAGACCACGTGGGATACTAGACGAATTTTGCAACGGCCATACATGACGCTTTAAGTTAAAATTACGACGACAAGTTCCTTGGTTTTTTATATTTTTTTAATTTAAAACGCAACGCGTAATCAACTCCCACGACCGCGATTCACCGTTAAGGGGAAGTGCGTAACCACGATCAGAACACATTTCTTCAAAGACGAATCTTTCAGCAATCAGTCCACAAAAAGTCAATTCATACGACGGAATAAACAGTCTGGACGTGCCTTTTTCTTCCAGAAACAACTACACTAACTACTAAATTAGATAGAAGAGGCGGGAAACGAATGCTGATACAACTCCCATGACAGACCTGGCACAACAAAAGACACCATAAACTCACGCATGTAATCAATTAAAAGAAATATAAATTGTTCGTATCTACCAGCGGAGTTACTTTTCGAGGATACGGTAACAGGTAACACTGAGATAGCAATGGCGAAACACCAAACGGTTGTTGTTTTCATCTTGCTGAGTTCGGTCGTCGAATGCAGGATCTAAATGAATTGACATGAATAAAGAAACGTTCAGTAAGGAATTAAACGGTCGTTTACTTCAATACTGTCTTGGAGTATTTAGTTAGGCAATCGTAGGGCAGTATGATTCAGTGATTCATTTGTGTCTAGGTAAGTTTTGAATTTGAAGTCTGAAGTTATTTGGGTTTTAGTTATTATGCAGAGATCCCTGATGTGGACGGCTGACTTGGCTATCATTCATTAGTGGAAGTGCCTAGTTCGTCGTCTGTTCTTGCCCAAGACCTACACTACTAGAGTTCCTTTTTTTGGCTTTCATGGTCAAAAATTGTTTGTTTGATCAGAAACGTCAGGTAAGTTGTTTTTCATTCGTAAAACTCACGTGAAAGTAGGTCTGGATTCCGATACGGTCAGTTGATTCGCAAGTTAGCACTTCGGGATAATCAGAGTTAGAGTTAGCTAGAAGTGATGAGATTCAGAGTCAGCCATATAGTGATTAAAGAAAAGAGATTGAATCTATTTTAAACAGACCTGCGGCAGAGAACAGGGATTAAAGAAGAAGGTAAAGGACAGAGTTCCCGGTGTCTTCCCCTTTGCGTTGGAAGTTCTTTAGCTGGATTCCACCCATCTGCGCCTTACCAATACTTTAAAATTGACACCAAACAGGTATGAAGTTATAACATCAGTTTAAAGGCACTTAAATGGGAATTTGTTGACCGGAACGAGAAGGAATTCCGGAAATTGTTATCATAGTAACACGACGTTGGTAAGAAAGATAGTCGTCATGTGTCGCCTTTCATTTTTGCAACAAGCATAATGTTTTAATATGAACCTGGGTAAACAAACATGAGTCAATATAAATTTGGTGAGGTTGGTATGTTACATTATGAATGACAAATTTACACCGCATATTAAGTAACTGAATATGACTGAAAATATGCAAGAGATTATAATCTCAGGTTATTATCTCTTGAAAGAAGTTAACCTTCTACATGGGAATGATGGGATTTGTAGCAAAATAAGCGATAACTCCCATCCTTTGCTCGGCTTCCCCTTTCCAATCATTTTAAACTAAGTGGTATTGAGAGAAAGAACTAATTCTTTATTACTGGAAATTATTGAAAGGAAAAAATGAAACTGCATGTGGAAGGACAGGATAGCAGAGCCGCTATTTCGTGTTTTAAATAATAGAGGTCTTGTAAGGGGGTTTTTGATGTCGCTTTATCGTTCGATTGCCAACATACCTTTCCGATCTTTTTGGTTAGGGACAAATGTGACACTAGAATTATTTTTATCCTAAGAAAATTTTTGGCGAATTGTCTAAGTTGAAATAAATGCATGTTTTTCCTAGTATGAATGGTGAGGGTGTCACACAAACATTTCATTGATAAATTTATAAATGAGTGGAAATATATAAATTGATTAAACAAAATCAACATAACAACATTTAAGGGGAGAATCGGAAGCCAATTGTTTCGCACATTTTTTCCTAATTGATGGTGGAATGTGTTCGAATGAGCAATTGTAAAAGCTCTCCTTGAATTGAAATGTCTCTTCTCAAATCAATTCAAATCGTAGTAAGACTGATATCGTAGAAACTCTATTTGTTCTTTGTTTTTAATACAGATGTGGATCGAGGTGTTATTAAAGAATTAAGAAAATGCGCAATTTGCTGCGAGATTTGAAGATGCTCCAACATATTACCCGTTTCTAATAGCTAGGATCTGTGTGACACAAAAACTTAGGGTAGAGGTGTTATCTCTTAAAATCTAGAATACGAGGAAAAGGTAGTAAAAAACAATTTCAAAAAGATATTTTCTTCATATTGCAATTTACTTGAAATGCGGTAGGATTTTTCATAATAAAGGAAAGGGGAAGTGAGTTAGTTCCAGAACAAAACAGTCCGACTTTGCTTCCAAAAATCATAGATTTCGTAATTGGTAGTGTTATGCATCTCATGGTTACTTACCAAGCGGGTGATATGTGGCGAACACAGCAATAATGGAGAACTGAAGAGTCGTGCTGTAGCTCTAAGCGAGGGTTCAATATGTTGTAAACGTTTACGACGGACGTTCAGTAATTCTGTTGTTGATTACATTGATTCTTAATGCATAACTTTGACATTAGGTTTTGAAAGATAAATCAAATTATTCCACCTGTCTGACTTAGGAAAATGAGCAACGTATTGTTCTAGCAACAGCCCATGGATTAAAAGAATATGCTATTTCGAAGTTTCAGAGACTTTTTATTTAGCAGCAATTGTGTTTATTTAATTTGGACTTAGAAAAGAGGAAAGTAAAGTAGGGTGAGGCTAACGTGTTACACAATATTGGCCCAGATTTTTCTAAATTAACATCATGTATTTTCATGAATTAATGATATCTATTCTTCGAATTCCTAATCGGGTAAATAGCAATAAACCTTCGAACTATTGGCAGAGGTTAATTAATTTTGTTATTTTGATTTTCACCCTTTTCGATATTAATACTAACGTATCAAGGAAATGGATTGTAAAAAAAAACACAAGGGTTGTTTTGTTTCTTCTTGTAAATGCACCCATTTGAGCGATAAATGCACAGCTCTTCTTTCTTCTGATTTTACTATTAGAGAAAATTCCTTTTCCTTCTGGAAAAGTCCTCCAAAAGTATCGTAAACCGCAAACTAGTTTGAATTGATTGCTCCCACTAAAAACTAAATCTCTTTTTCTGCAATACTTTTAGAAAGGTCAGTGACCAGGTTCTTAGAACAACAGGTTTCTGCTATTACCAGATGAGTCAAGAAATGAGGGCAGACCTAATGTTAGGCTCTGAAGTAGGTTTAAAACGTCTAAAATGGCCTTGAATATTCCAAAAAATTGAAATGCTCCTAGGAGCCAAAAGCGTTTTCGGGAAAAAACTCAATCGAACTCTCGAGGGAACCGAAAAAAGTTTCGAGTTCGCGGAGGTCCGATTTATCGGAATTGGTGTTGAATTTCTATTATCCTGTTAATATTAAATAAGGAATCATGTTTTTGCCATTCTTACACAATCAACAGTCATTTTCGTTCATTGAGTAATTTTTATTTCATGGTGGCTTTTTGATAAGAACGCTTAGTCTGGGAAATTTGGCTAAATACGTTAT